AAAAAAAAAAAAAAAATCAAATTAAAAAAAAAAAAATACACAAGGCCCTAGGTTCAATCTCTAGTACCATTAAAAGAAAAAAAGAAAGAAAAAAAAAGACACCCAGAAGGAAATTATAGTCTTAAACCAATAAGACCAGCTTCAAATCTAAATACTGAAACTGGTCCCCTTAAACATGCAACAAAGCAGTGACATCAATAGGGACAGAACTTTTTCCAGTTTCTATTTATCAAGAAACGGACTGTATTTCTAATGATAAATTTTACTGAGTAGGTTTAAATGTGATGCTTAAAGGGTGACTTTGTATGGGCTTTCCTAAGGAATAGCTTCATAAATTATATCTCACATATTCATAGAATAGCAAATGGTTTAGAACAAGCAGATGTTCCTCACCAAAAGACTATGCCTTCGATATGGTATTACTTATGCTCTCCCAGAGTCAGTTTCTTTTTTCTTTACTTTGTGTGTGTGTGTGTGTGTGTGTGTGTGTGTGTGTGTGTGTGAAATACAGTCTTCCTGTATAGTCCAGTAGAGCCTTCAGTTCATGGCTTAACAAAGGCTGGCCTCAAACTTGAAATCCTCCTGCCTCAGACTCCTGAGTGCTGGGATTACAGGCATGTGCAGCATGGTAATTTCTTACTGATTCTCCAAAGCCCAGCCCATAAGTTTACTCACGAAAGAGACTCTAATACAGTCATGAGGTATGCACTGACATTTCAATCAATGATGTAGTATGCATACAATGGTAGTCTCTTAAGATTGTGATGGAGCTGACAATGATAAAGGGACATCATTACTGTCCTGACATCATAGCACAGCACATTACTCACGTGTTTGTGGTGATGCTGACGTAAAGAAACCTACTAGACTATCAGATGTAGAAAATTACAGCATGTACAATTATGTACAGTCCATACTTGATAATAATAATAAGTGACTGTTACAACCTTATATATTTACTAGGTTATGCTTTTTTTTTAGGTTATACTTTTTATCATTATTTTAGTTTTAGTTTTTGATACTTAGGATCAAACCTAGGGCCTCAAATATGTTAATCATACTCTACCACTGAGCTATACCCTCCTTCTTTATCATTATTTTAGAGTATACCACCTCCATTTAAATAGAAGTTTACTGTAAATAGTATGCTATGCTATGCTAGCAGCAGTCTCCTGCATCTCGTGTTTACAGAATTTCTTGATTGCGTCATTTCTCTTGTGCATTGAATCTTATGTTTTGTTCATCATGGCCCTAAGAGCAATAGGCTGTGCCATAAATATGTACACCATATCACTTAGATAGTGTAAGCAGATCCTGCAATTCTTGAACAATGAAATTCTCTGACACTTTTTTTTTTTTGGTACCAGGGATCAAACTCGGGACCTTGTGCTTGCGAGGTGGGCGGAACTAATGACACATTTATCAGAATGCAGTCCCATCATTAAGCAATGAATGACTACATGTTGACTAAAGAAATAAATGTCTGCAACTGAAACAAGGGGAGAATACATCAACTCAAATCAACTGTCCAGGGGGTACATCAGTATTTGCTAAGAACAAAAAAATTGCTACAGGATAATATTCTCTTAGTGAAAGTGCTTATCTTATGGATTGAAAAACAAGATGTAAGCAGGAAGACTGCTGTGAGTTTGAAGCCAGCCTGGGCTACATAGTGAATTCAAGGCCAGCCCAAAATTTACAGTGAGATCCTGTCACTCCGCCCCTCCTCGAAATAAAAAAACAAAAAACACAGGGCTGCAAATGTGGCTCAGCGGTAAAGCACTTGCCTAGCAGACACAAGGCCCTGGATTTGACCCTCAGCACTGCAAACAAAACAAAAATATGATGGAGGCCTGCTATGCAGAGCACTCAGCTGTCCTTTAGCTATAAGTCCTTCTAACTCTACCTTGAGAAGACAGCAAATTCCAAAATAATGTTTTAATGGCCATAATCCAGTCTATTTCTTAGCACTTGTTATTCAAACTCTATCATACCTAGTTCTGTCAAACTCTAACAGTTTGTCTTTATGCTTGATAGCCTTCTCCAGTCCAGACTTAATTCGAGATTCTTGGTGAGGAAGAAGGTCCTTAGTAGGGATGTCCACCTTTCCAGAATTCTCCGCCCCTAAAATTCAGTAAGGAAATTAAATAGTATCAGCATATCATACAAATGAGTTGTATTACTGTGCAGCAAAGAACAAGATATCTGAAGATCTGGTCTGGTCTGAGGGTCTGGAGTCTTCATTTCAACAGAAAACAATCAAGGACAGACATCAGACCTTAACGCATCAAATGATGCTTGACATGTAATCAGTCACCGAAAATATTAGGTCCTTTTTCTTTTCTTACAGAAATCTGGACTGCTAAGGATACCAAATGATTTAATAATACAACACAACAATGCCTTCTAGAGCTGGTGATGCAGCTCAGTGGTAAACACTTATAAGTGAAAAACTACTCAATAGGACTATCACCTTTAAATGTACTATTATATATGGGGCCAGGGATTTAGCTCAGTGGTGCCGCCACCTGCCTCCCAAGTGCAAGGTCCTGACTTTGATCCTTGGTACCAAGAAAAAAAATTATGAAAACTGAAAACTAATGGGACAGAAATTTCAGGAAAGGCACAAAAATAAATAGTTAAATGTGAAAGCACTTAATACAAAGCATTTAATTCTCACAATAATCCTATAAAACAGTTTGCATTATTTTTATTTTACATATAAAGAAAATGAAGTTCAGAGATAATACTAAGTTTGGTTGATTTTTTTTTTTTTGGTACCGGGGATTAAATTTGGATCCTTGCACTTACAAGGCAGGCAGTGGAACCGCTGAGCTAAATCCCCAGCAGATAATACTAAATTTATTGAGTTCATTCAGAATCAGAAGCAGGAACAATGGCATGGTGACATGGACCTATACTCTCAATCACTCAGGAGATTACAGCAGGAGGGTCACTTTGAGGCCAGGAGTTTGAGGCCCGCCTAGGCAACATAGTGAGATTTCATCTCAAACCAAACCAAACCAAATCCCTCAAACTCATTAAAAATAAAAAAGTAAGGGCCAGGGATTTAGCTCAGTGGTTTCACCGCCTGCTGCACAAGCACAAGGAACCCAGTTTGATCCCTGGTACCAAAAAAATAAAAATAAAAAAGTATAGCTTCTTACAACTACAAAAAAGTAATGTCAAAATTGAACAGTGAACAGGTTTTCAGGTACAATGCTAAGATTGCTATAGACTAGTACAATAATTTGGTACAGTAATTTGATAAATACATCTGAAGTACCCAAAGCGATAATATTTGAAGCCAGGCATTCTGATCCTAGCACTCGGGAAGCTAAAGCAGGAAGACAGTTAGAAGGTACCCTGGGCTATATAAGTGAGTTTAAGTCCTGTTTGGATTACATAGCAAGACATTGTCTCAAAAAGCAAAACAAAACAAAAAATTCTTTAACTCATTATTTTTATTCTTAGGAATCTGTTCTGAGAAAATAGATCAAACCTGGCCTCAGTAGTGAACATGTTAATTCCAGTCAATTGGGAAGCTGACACAAGAGGATGGCAAGTAAAAGGGTAGCTGGGGCAACACAGCAAGACCTGCCTCAACTTCTGGGAAGATGCTGGAGTGGTAAACAGCAACAAATCAACCTCTCTAAGATTCGGAACCTAGACACTGGAAAATAACACACTGAGGAAGAAAAGAAGGAAAGAGGTGGATACCTGGGACCCAGGAATATCTGAAGGGAAAATTGGAGCCCACAGAGAAAGTGAAGAGCACAACCCAAAAAAAAGGAGGGAGCAAACTGCACTTTCTCCCCAGCTCCAGGCATGAGAGAAAGATCGAATCTACAGCGACACAGTGAGGGCAGGTGACTGCAAGGAGAAACACACCAGTGGAACAGAGCAATGGATGCTGTGCAGTACAAGAGCTGGTGAATGACTCCAATCCAAGTGATTGCTATATCTACTGGAGAGGGTGCCTGGCCAGATATTTTAGGGAGGGACCTACTGAACCCGGGACTCAAAGCAGCTGTGGGTTAGCTTCATTTTAGGGTTCTCAGAGTTGAAATCCCAAAGTGACTGGGTGAGGGACAACCATGGGAGATGTATGGAGCTGAGGTCAAGCAGGCAAGAGACACCCAGAGTGTTACCGGCTGAATAACTCAGGCTACAGCTCCACAACCACAGGCAAGAATCAGCCTGAACTTCTGTGGAGTAGAAACCACCAGAATTGGCACCAGGCTTTAATCCAGCACAGATCTAGGCTCAGTCTGCCTTCTTTGTCTTCAAGTGACAGCAGAAACACATCCTGTGCTGGACACTACCACAAAATTATAGATCCCAGAAGATAACCACGGGCTTCAAAACACAGAGAAATTTTTTTTCCTTTGCTTTTTTTTCTGCTTTTCTTGTTTTTGTTTTTTTGAGGGTAAATATTGTTTTCAGTTTTTGTTTTTGCTCGTTTTTGTTTTTTCCTTCTTTCTTTTCCTTGTCTTCTTTAGCAGTTTCCCAAAGCTTTCTGCTTCAGCCTTGACCCTCATCTCTTTCTCTTTTATTTCTCTAATTTTTCCTCTTGTCCCTTTTAAATTTTCTCCCTTGAAGGTAAAATTGCTCTACTGAGTGGATATTTATTGTATATAATTTTGTGATTTGATTTTGTTATATAACTATAAATCTTGTACATACGGTTAAAGGTGTCAAATTAAGTTATCACAGTTTGTCATTTTCTAGACTGTGCTTGATGCTATTGTTACTGCTGAGTGTACTATTTTTGCCAAGGTGACATAGTTCTTGTGATCAGTTGTTCTTTGTATGCCAATACCGAGATTATCTAGGGATCATAAACAATGCTGTGGTGGATTAACTAATGGTCAACTTGGAACACTCAGATGAACTGAGTCAGCGTGGTTCTAGGTGTGGAAGATGCACCTGAGGATTGTTGCTAACAGCATAAAAAGAGAACTGGAGTGGAAGATTATATGCTGCTGATTTTCTTGGAGAAGCTTGCTGTGACTGCTTTTCCTGATACAAACTCGGCTGTTCTCATCGCCAGAGGAGGTTGGGTCCTCGCTGTTGGCCGGGATGGCTGCTGTTCTTTTCAGCGGAGCTCTACTCTTTGCCTTGAGTGTTGCTTCCTGGCTCCAGTGCATCTGGAGCCAGGAAGCACCCTCAGCCTGGTGGCACAGATCCTTCACTCTGCTGGTGCAGACTTTCTAGCTTCCAGCACTAGCCTTTGGGCCTTCCCAGTGCAGATCCTTGATACGGACTTGCATGAGACATTCCTGTGGACTCTAGGCCTCTGGCTGGACTTGTGGAGGACATTGCCTTGGGCTGTAGGCCTTTAGCTGGACTTGTATGGGGGACACTGCCATGGGATCCAGTCCCTAGGCTAGATTCTTCGGATCTCTAGCATGTGGACAGATCTCTTGTACTCATTGGCATTTGACTTTTTGAGTGAATATTATAAAATAATCCTATAAATTATGTATCCTGTATTAAATCTATTCCCTTGCAAACTCTGACTACAACAAATAAAATAGTCCAGTATCAAAGAATTAGGTGCTAGGCCAAACAGGAAAGAACCTCTCATCCTTAATAAACTGAAGAGGCAGGACCTTGAGATAGACTCAAAATCCAAAAGCCAGCTATGCCTACAAGACATCCCTGAAAAGTAGTCATTTTTTCAAGAGGTCTCACTACTAGTACAAAGCTACCTACCATAAACAATTTATAATGCAGAAAATAAATTAAATTTTTTAAAAATAGAAAATGAGAAAACACAGAATCAAGATGCAACCCCAGACGTCCAGCTCACCAAAGGTAAATCCAGTGTATACTAAGGTAGAAGAAATCAAAATCCTCCCAAGCCGAACTTTCTGAAATGGTAGCAGTGGAAGTAACAAAGCAGATACACGAGTTTCTAAAAAAATAAACAAGTTGGGGCCAGGGATTTAGCTCAATGATTCCTCCACCTGCCTTGTAAGCACAAGGACCCAAGTTCGATCCCCAGTACCAAAAAAACCCCAAAAAACCAAAAAACAAAAAAACCCCCCTAAAACTAGAGGTTCCATTTGACTCAGCTATTTCCCTTCTGGGCATCTTCCCAAAAGAGTTAAAAGCATCATGCCCCCATGTTTATAGCAGCACAATTTACAATAGCTAAATCTTGGAACCAGCCCAAATGCTCATCAATGGATGAATGGAAAAAGAAGATATGGTTTTTATATACAATGGAGGATTACTCTGGATTAAAAAAGGACAAACTAGAGATATTTTTAGGTAAATGGAAGAATGTACCTTGAGAACATAATTTTAAGTGAAATAAATCACAATACATGTTAAATATTGCATTGTTTCTCTTATGTGAGAAACTCAAAGGGTAAATAAGGACAGAATGGATGATAGATACTGGGAAGTAGGAAGAAAATGTTCAAATGGGAAGAGGAACAAGGGAGGAGGAGAGGGAAGGGAAGGAAAGGAATAGGAATAACAAAATACAAAAGAATGAAAGAAAAAAAAAGATCTTGTCTCAAAATAAAAATAAGAAGGTCTAGAGATGTAGCTCAAGAGTAGTCTGACCCTGGGTTCAAGCACCCAAAGGAAATAAAAGATATGTTAACAAAGTGACCATTTGTGGTATTATTTATGATTTGGAAAGTGAAGATATTCATTAACTAGGAAATAGGTAACTAAGTTATAATAAATCAAATAGATTTTTACTGAGCAAGAAATTATGAAATATTAAAGGGAAAAACATTCTTTATAGTGCTATTACTACTTTATAATCCCAATCAATCTTTGTATTTAAAAGAGTTGTCTCTTCTCCATTTTGTACCTTATCCAGTTATTTATATGAACATGGTATTAATTTTATTATTGTGTATTAATTTTATTCTTTGGGTTATAATCCAATACTATTACTATTCATTTTGTGGCTAAATGTTATGTGGTTTTACTAATAACTTTAAAAAAATAAATGCCTATTGGGCCAGGGATTTAGCTCAGTGGTTCCACTGCCTGCCTCGCAAGCGCAAGGACAGGAGTTCGATCCCCAGTACCAAAAATAAATAAATAAATGCTTATTGAGTAAATGAGTGAATAAACATCTTGTACACCATGTTATAGGAAAGAAAAACAATCACCAATTAAACAAAATGTAGCCAATCACCACAGTGATTCAATAAGAAGATTGCAGTCTACCTGACATGAGCTTCTTTAGCAGTTTCTGGCTTTTATTTGAGTCACGCTGTAAAATATCACGCTCTTCATGAGTACATACCTGTAAATTAGTAAATTATTATACAT